CCCGAGCTTCATTGAGCAATTCTTCGTAGCTGGAAACCTTTTGTCGGCTCACTCTTTCCCGGATCTGTGCGTGCAACATTCCGAACAGCATATCTGGTTGCTCTGCTTCGGCAGGAACATTCTTCAGCTGTGAAAATAGCGCTCGCTTCCTCCGAATAAAGGTATCCGTAGGTTCGTTCTTTTGTTGCTTCAGCTCAAAAATCTCGTAATAAATTCGCCATGCGGGTCTTGCGGGTGAAAAACTTTCGCGCAGCTTACATACGACGTCAACAAAATCAGTAACATTATCCTTTATGCCACGCCACCACTCAGCAGCGTCACCTTCGAGTAACATTGGCATTCCGTTGATTGCATCGCAATCATTGATTTTTTCCAGCATTTTGAATGTGGAAATTGCGGCAATAAACTCCTCAACTTTTGTTGGATTACGCTCGCCGTTATAGCGGGCAGTGCACGTGGAAAAAGTTCCCACACGGTTGTTGCTAGTATGTACTGCGCCCATCAAACGCTCGAATTGTTCGTTGGTAAGCGCTAAAGTCAAGTTGCTTTGCAGTCTTGGACTTCGCCTCAGAAAATAATCGGTAAAATTGGCCACTATGTTGGGCGCCACTTGTAACAAAACAAGTTTTGTTGTGTTTAAGGGTAATTTATTTTAAGGTAGTTTAACGTGGGTTCACAATTTCACTGATTTTCTACAAAGGAAGTAGTGCTAGCGGTCAGTAGCAGCAGAGCAAACGCCAATTGCAATGTAGAGACCAGCCATCGCTGTTCATCTAACATGGCAACCATCTTGCTTAAATATATGCTTATGTGGTGAACACTTAGAACGGCGTACTATCGCTCGCCACGTTCCTTGCGCACTCCACACTGCAAGTCTGCTTACTCCTGATCGCCAGAACACAAATGAACGATCTTAAGCAAAGTGTCGGCTTTTATAGCATTTTCTTACAACGCTTTGGCAATTTTGGCAATATGCAAGACAAGGACAAACATACGTTACAATATCGAACTGTCAAAGATATGAAAGCATTGCCAGACTAAACTTACATACAATCATTGCCAGATTAAACTTACATAAAATTCTTTATACAATANTCATTTATTTGGTACTTTCCTATCCTCTTACCAAAAAATTTGCTTTGAAATGTAGATGCTAAAGATTTTTGGAAAAAAAAGTGTGAGTACGGTTCGTCAGGTCTTGAAATTAGAGGAATGTTTTAAATAATTTTATGTAGTTTTCGAATATATGATTTGATCTTTTCGAGCGACTTTGCAAATATATGTAATTTTTAAATTTTCTTAGTTTTTAATTTTCAGCTTCTTTTTGCATAATTTCGCGAAAAGAATTTTTCGAACAATGAAAAAATCTGACCAAACATTGGGAAAAAACCGAGTATTTACACCTAAGTCATTATATAGTATAACCTTTGTTTTCTGAAACCATGTTCTGACCGACAACGAAAACACTTTGAAAACGAGTTTTGGAATTGTGGGCTGAAGGCTGTTCTCTCATTGCAGTTTTGCTACACAAAAACAAAACCAAAATGCTTTTCCCACATTTTCTTTTCATTAGCAACCTCTTACTTTCAATCTTATTTTACTTTGGCCAGCCAATTAACAATAAATACGAAATAGCGCATTAAAGATGATAAAATATGACTTCCACTTCGATAAATAATCGAAAAAAACTAGTGAAGACACCGATTGGAACGAGTGGAACGTGAGTTTTCAAATAGTTTTCAGCGAAAACTGGTTTTCGTTTGAAAGATTTTACATGGACGAAAACACATGTTTTAGGTCGAAAACTAGTTTAAGCAACGAAAACATGTTTTCGATGTCGGTCAGAACATGGTATGAGAGTGGAAAGCAGGAAATAAAAATTAACCAAAATTCCATCACATTTAATGACCAGGCCCACATTTTATGTGAGTTTTGGCCGTTATAGTATATATTTTATATTTAGGTTTTTCTAATAAAAGAGGAAGCACAAATTAAATTTCATCGAAATCGGATGTAATTTAACTTTTCCGCCCACAAGAGTAGAAGGCGTGGCAATTGTTCCATCTTTACCAAAATTCATAACTCCCTATATCTAAGAAAAACGGGAGCACATGTAAAGTTTCAGTGAAATCGGTGCAAGTTTACTATTATTTCCACCTGCCTTCATATAGTCGAACACTGTGCGCCAATGGGAAACCGGAGCTGGCTAGCGACAAAGCTTTGAGCAGCGGAGGGTCGTCGAAGTCGATACCCAAAGCTGTCTCTGTCCCGGGTGGGATTTCTGGTCCTGCATAGGCGAAACCGCCCTGCATTAAGCGCTTAAGTAGGGCCTGCACGGCCGGTGCCTCAGGGCGTCCTAGCCAACTCCTTCTGGTACGATGAATAAAGGCGTCGGAATTCTGCCGGTAGCGGGTAGCGCCTGTGCGAAATCGCAAGGAGTATCTGGGGGTGCGGTGCATGGTGGAAACGCCAGGACCAGCAAGGGTTTCTCGCCGCGTGTCTTCGGAGTTTCGAGGACCTCGGATGGGGCACCTCAGGGGAGGCCTAAACGGCGCGCCACCGCGGCGAGAAAGACTCTCTCGGACCGTCGCATGGCCGCCAAAATTTTAGAACGCTAGGGCGAACAGTGTGGTGGTCAAATTACTGATCAGCTTGCCCGAACGCTGGAGTGGGCTAAAAAGGTGGTCGGCGATGCGGAGGCTGCGACGTCCGCACAGGGGATGGTAGCCGATGTCGACAATGATGCTGCAAAGATCACGAGAGCGGGAAACCTCTACCGTTAAAAACTTCGCAGGGGGCCGGCTCCTACGTTTAGCGAAATCGCAAATCTTGCTGGCTCTGTGGAATTAGGGGGCATGGACCGCAGCAGGGAGGACGGCGCAATCACTCACGGAGTGTGGCGGCCGCCATGTCGGCGGTATTTATGAGGGTGGTCAGGGGGAATCCAGAGCCACCGCCTAGGTGTGAGAGTGCCGGTTGACATCATGGGCTGCATAAGTTCACGAGGTGTGCAGACGAGCGGTCAGCAGCGTTATACAAGGAGGCAGTCTCCCTGGTTGGGGAGGTTTGGAAGGGTGCCAAGCTAGTGGCCGTGGACAAAGTGGATCTTCCGATGCGTCCACGGGCTCGGGTATGGCTCTCTACTGAGCTTACCTCTCCAGACGAGACCAAAGGAATACTTCGGTACTGCAACGCATCTTTCCCGACGCATAACTGGAGGGTTATATGGCTGGAGAGGACCGAGGAATCTTATCGGCAAGCGCTGATACTGCTTAATGGAGAGTCCCCCGGTGCTCTTAGCAATACCAAGGGGGTCATATACTATGGCTTCGAAACAGTGGTTCTATGGATCCTACCGACTGAAGCCAAATCGGATGCCTCCAGCAACATCGGAGGGAGGAAGGGAGGCCACTGACTCCGCCAGCATGGAGTTGAGAGACTCGGCTCCATCGGATGCTGAGAGTATCGGGCGGATCCTCTGCCGGGGAGTCCGTCTTCAGTCTCGATAGGCTGTTCGTTGGGGTCAATGTTCGAGGTGAGGGCACGGAACTGGCGCTCATGGAGGATATTCTGGAGAATGAAGATTCTGCAGATTAATGACTAAGCAGTAACGGTATCTCTGTAATCAGAAAAAGGAACTACAAGCTGATAGCGGCGAAAAATGTAGGTATAACGAGAGCCTGCATGCTTATCAGAGGTGAACTAAAAGCTTGTATATTGCATAATTTCAGTAATGACGATATGGTGACAATCAGGCGTGAACGAGAGGCTGGAGAACTCTGGCCAATATCCGCCTTCTTACATATCTGTAACTGGGGGAATCCCCTACGTTCATAACTGCTGCCAGGGAGGAAGTTCTTGACCTCACACTGGCTTCATCTGAGACAGCACCTTTGATCTCGGATTGGAGGGTTCTGAGCGAACACTCCTTTTCGGATCATAGGTATGTTCAATTCTCCTTGGGACAAAACGCGTCCTCCTAGCAAGCTCTTCAGAAACCTGAGGAACACCAACTAGGGACACGAGTTTCGATACGATACGATACCATATCGATACTTTTGGCATTCGATACCGATATTTTTTACTCGATAGTTTTAAAACGATATTTTTTGGAATCGAGTACCAGAATCCTAGTATCGTATCGAATGTCATAAACTCAAATTAGTCAGCTTTCAGTCACGTCAGGTCTGGCTTTCAAGTCTGCTCGTTCCAAGGCAAAGGAGGTGAGAAGAAAGGGGAAGAGTGCAGATACTTCCCATTTAAAGAACCACGAACTTGAATTCAATAAAAGTTGACGCGTCTGGGAGCAAATAGAAAACACAAAAGAGAATGCGAAAAAATTGCTTTCAAGACTTATCTGATTATCAGCTCTTCCCGATATAAATTGGGCTTTAAAGAAGAGAAATTTTTTTACTATCGTTAGGATTGCATGTGGCGGGATTTGAACACGAGGTCTCGGTGTTTTAAGTCAACACCTCAATCTCTGCGTGTAAAAATAATACATTAACGCTTACAAAATATGGCTGACTTCCAAAACGTATCAATACAATGTTTGGAAACTGTTATACTGCGGTATTCAAACTGTTTGTATATGCAGAGTTGCGACACAATGCAACCATATACATTGCATATTTTAAATATTCAATATAGCAATGAACAATTTTTCTGAATTTTCCATTTCTAAAACACCAATGCTAACCAATAACAAACGAAGCATCAACTTTGCTTCTGATGCGCTGATTGCTCCAGCGATGCGTTTCGATAACTTTTCGGCTGCGTTTTGGAACAATATACATTCTGCCGAGAGCTTTCCATCAGCACTAAGTTCGGGCTACCGGAATTCTGCAGTGTATTCCAGGCGGAAGTAGCTACTATCAAAGAGGCGGTAGATTCACTGCTAAAGAGCATTATAACAGTCAGGGAAGTGAGTATATATTCTGATAGCCAAGCGGCTATCAGGGCCTTGAGTTCGTTAGAGGTGCGATCTAAATTGGTTAAGGAATATCTGCTCTCTCTTTCGGCCGCGTCGGAATACTTCTGCATTAGGCTTATTTGGGCTCCGGGTTACAGCGACATTGGGTGGAACTGAGTGGCTGGCCAGGGAAGGAACCCGTGAAACGTTATCACCGGATAAAGAGCGGCTGGGGGTGCCATTGATCATTGCGGTACACTCTTGGATAGATGGGCCTTATGCCAGCTCAGCGAACGCTGGGCGAATACCACGACATGCGCGATCGCAAGGTTCCTTTGGCCGAGGGTGGACCGGGGTCGGTCGAGGACACTCACACTTACAAAGCCACATCTCTCACTTCTGGTGGGGGTTTTAACGGGTCACTGTCCTATCGGTATTTACGCAGTAAGGCTAAACATTCTACCGGACCCCTTATGTCGCAGTTGCCTGGAAGAGGACGAGGTAGAATCACCTCAACACTACCCTCTTAGGTGCCCAGCGTTTGCGAGGCTAAGGTTGAAGTACTTTGGCCCCCACTTTCTAAATAGCCCCGACGAGCTCTGGGGAATTGAGATCAGCCGTATTAGTAAATACATAATTGGCTCGGAGCGTTTTAGCGATAAAGCTTAGGGGGCCGTTCCAAATTGTGGTATCACAA